ATGATGAAATCATACCATTTCTATTCAAATATAATAATATCACTAGAAGACGTTATGATGAAATCATACCATTTCTATTCAAATATAATATATCACTAGAAGACGTTATGATGAAATCATACCATTTCTATTCAAATATAATAATATCACTAGAAGACGTTATGATGAAATCATACCATTTCTATTCAAATATAATAATATCACTAGAAGACGTTATGATGAAATCATACCATTTCTATTCAAATATAATAATATCACTAGAAGACGTTATGATGAAATCATACCATTTCTATTCAAATATAATAATATCACTAGAAGACGTTATGATGAAATCATACCATTTCTATTCAAATATAATAATATCACTAGAAGACGTTATGATGAAATCATACCATTTCTATTCAATGATGAAATCATACCATTTCTATTCAAATATAATAATATCACTAGAAGACGTTATGATGAAATCATACCATTTCTATTCAAATATAATAATATCACTAGAAGACGTTATGATGAAATCATACCATTTCTATTCAAATATAATAATATCACTAGAAGACGTTATGATGAAATCATACCATTTCTATTCAAATATAATAATATCACTAGAAGACGTTATGATGAAATCATACCATTTCTATTCAAATATAATAATATCACTAGAAGACGTTATGATGAAATCATACCATTTCTATTCAAATATAATAATATCACTAGAAGACGTTATGATGAAATCATACCATTTCTATTCAAATATAATAATATCACTAGAAGACGTTATGATGAAATCATACCATTTCTATTCAAATATAATAATATCACTAGAAGACGTTATGATGAAATCATACCATTTCTATTCAAATATAATAATATCACTAGAAGACGTTATGATGAAATCATACCATTTCTATTCAAATATAATAATATCACTAGAAGACGTTATGATGAAATCATACCATTTCTATTCAAATATAATAATATCACTAGAAGACGTTATGATGAAATCATACCATTTCTATTCAAATATAATAATATCACTAGAAGACGTTATGATGAAATCATACCATTTCTATTCAAATATAATAATATCACTAGAAGACGTTATGATGAAATCATACCATTTCTATTCAAATATAATAATATCACTAGAAGACGTTATGATGAAATCATACCATTTCTATTCAAATATAATAATATCACTAGAAGACGTTATGATGAAATCATACCATTTCTATTCAAATATAATAATATCACTAGAAGACGTTATGATGAAATCATACCATTTCTATTCAAATATAATAATATCACTAGAAGACGTTATGATGAAATCATACCATTTCTATTCAAATATAATAATATCACTAGAAGACGTTATGATGAAATCATACCATTTCTATTCAAATATAATAATATCACTAGAAGACGTTATGATGAAATCATACCATTTCTATTCAAATATAATAATATCACTAGAAGACGTTATGATGAAATCATACCATTTCTATTCAAATATAATAATATCACTAGAAGACGTTATGATGAAATCATACCATTTCTATTCAAATATAATAATATCACTAGAAGACGTTATGATGAAATCATACCATTTCTATTCAAATATAATAATATCACTAGAAGACGTTATGATGAAATCATACCATTTCTATTCAAATATAATAATATCACTAGAAGACGTTATGATGAAATCATACCATTTCTATTCAAATATAATAATATCACTAGAAGACGTTATGATGAAATCATACCATTTCTATTCAAATATAATAATATCACTAGAAGACGTTATGATGAAATCATACCATTTCTATTCAAATATAATAATATCACTAGAAGACGTTATGATGAAATCATACCATTTCTATTCAAATATAATAATATCACTAGAAGACGTTATGATGAAATCATACCATTTCTATTCAAATATAATAATATCACTAGAAGACGTTATGATGAAATCATACCATTTCTATTCAAATATAATAATATCACTAGAAGACGTTATGATGAAATCATACCATTTCTATTCAATGATGAAATCATACCATTTCTATTCAAATATAATAATATCACTAGAAGACGTTATGATGAAATCATACCATTTCTATTCAAATATAATAATATCACTAGAAGACGTTATGATGAAATCATACCATTTCTATTCAATGATGAAATCATACCATTTCTATTCAAATATAATAATATCACTAGAAGACGTTATGATGAAATCATACCATTTCTATTCAATGATGAAATCATACCATTTCTATTCAAATATAATAATATCACTAGAAGACGTTATGATGAAATCATACCATTTCTATTCAAATATAATAATATCACTAGAAGACGTTATGATGAAATCATACCATTTCTATTCAAATATAATAATATCACTAGAAGACGTTATGATGAAATCATACCATTTCTATTCAAATATAATAATATCACTAGAAGACGTTATGATGAAATCATACCATTTCTATTCAAATATAATAATATCACTAGAAGACGTTATGATGAAATCATACCATTTCTATTCAAATATAATAATATCACTAGAAGACGTTATGATGAAATCATACCATTTCTATTCAAATATAATAATATCACTAGAAGACGTTATGATGAAATCATACCATTTCTATTCAAATATAATAATATCACTAGAAGACGTTATGATGAAATCATACCATTTCTATTCAAATATAATAATATCATAGAAGACGTTATGATGAAATCATACCATTTCTATTCAAATATAATAATATCACTAGAAGACGTTATGATGAAATCATACCATTTCTATTCAAATATAATAATATCACTAGAAGACGTTATGATGAAATCATACCATTTCTATTCAAATATAATAATATCACTAGAAGACGTTATGATGAAATCATACCATTTCTATTCAAATATAATAATATCACTAGAAGACGTTATGATGAAATCATACCATTTCTATTCAAATATAATAATATCACTAGAAGACGTTATGATGAAATCATACCATTTCTATTCAAATATAATAATATCACTAGAAGACGTTATGATGAAATCATACCATTTCTATTCAAATATAATAATATCACTAGAAGACGTTATGATGAAATCATACCATTTCTATTCAAATATAATAATATCACTAGAAGACGTTATGATGAAATCATACCATTTCTATTCAAATATAATAATATCACTAGAAGACGTTATGATGAAATCATACCATTTCTATTCAAATATAATAATATCACTAGAAGACGTTATGATGAAATCATACCATTTCTATTCAAATATAATAATATCACTAGAAGACGTTATGATGAAATCATACCATTTCTATTCAAATATAATAATATCACTAGAAGACGTTATGATGAAATCATACCATTTCTATTCAAATATAATAATATCACTAGAAGACGTTATGATGAAATCATACCATTTCTATTCAAATATAATAATATCACTAGAAGACGTTATGATGAAATCATACCATTTCTATTCAAATATAATAATATCACTAGAAGACGTTATGATGAAATCATACCATTTCTATTCAAATATAATAATATCACTAGAAGACGTTATGATGAAATCATACCATTTCTATTCAAATATAATAATATCATAGAAGACGTTATGATGAAATCATACCATTTCTATTCAAATATAATAATATCACTAGAAGACGTTATGATGAAATCATACCATTTCTATTCAAATATAATAATATCACTAGAAGACGTTATGATGAAATCATACCATTTCTATTCAAATATAATAATATCACTAGAAGACGTTATGATGAAATCATACCATTTCTATTCAAATATAATAATATCACTAGAAGACGTTATGATGAAATCATACCATTTCTATTCAAATATAATAATATCATAAGGAAGACGTTATGATGAAATCATACCATTTCAATATAATAATATCACTAGAAGACGTTATGATGAAATCATACCATTTCTATTCAATGATGAAATCATACCATTTCTATTCAAATATAATAATATCACTAGAAGACGTTATGATGAAATCATACCATTTCTATTCAAATATAATAATATCACTAGAAGACGTTATGATGAAACATACCATTTTAAAAAATAGAAAATAAATTAATTTTTAGTAATTCAATTAGTCATACACTATAAAATTTTATTAAAAATATAATAATTAAAAGAAATTATAATCAAAGAATTAATTAAAATAGAATTATAATCTGTAGAATAATCTTGTAATAAAACATAATGTTCTTTATCAAAGTAAATAATATAACTTATTTTACTGAAATGATATAACATTTTCATCTATATTGAGGTAATATCACTGAAAAAAATTTCATGATTTATTTATTTTTAAAAGAATGTATTATTTATTGATTAAAAAATTTGATGAAATCTAATGTAAAATTTACATGAAAATAAATGCAATGAATTATAATAATCTCTTGTGCATAGTTTTTTACACCTTGCCAATTGCAATTTGAATTTCTAGATCGAATTGGATAAAAAATTCATTATGCATCAATATGATTTATTTAGAATACCTGTGTTAAAATTGACGAAAGACCAATGAGAGACAGAAGAAGAAATGTATTGCTTAAGCGTTGAAATTTTTCCGGAGTGACACCATCCTGATCAGATCAGTAAAATTTATAAATTTAAAAAAAATTAGCAAAAAATTTATCTTTTGTTTTTTTAAGAGCTAGACGAATAACAATAACTAAGAATATTGTAATATACCCAATAAATTTACATAAAAAATTAATCAAGAATTGTACATAAATTAAATTATCATTAATTAATTTGTAATCCAATTATGTTAATAATAATTCTTGAAATTTTAATTATTTTTTAAGTTTATTGAGAGTTAAGAAAAGTTTAGCTAACAATAGTACCTTGAGACCATCAGTTTTACAAGCTTCAATTTTTAAACGAACTGCCAACGAGTACACGTCAGGTATGAAAGAATGAACTTTTATTGAAATGCCTGTCTAAAATTGAATTTAAATTTTTTTTTACTTCTGTCGAAAATTCTTTAATTGAAAGAAACATTCACTCTTTACATTAAATGTTGTTGTGATAACAACGATGTCATTAAATTTGAAATAAAATTTCAAATTTATTTTTCATTTCTAATCTTATCTAAATAATTTTATCACTGATATTAATGCACAGCTAATTTTTTACACTTTCGCAGGTTAGAATAAAGATGCATTCGAAATTCGAGTTGCATCATTAAAGCAAATCGAAAACAGCAATAGAATAATGCACATAAATAGATAACATAGAGAAAAAATAAAAAGATAAAATCTTTCATTGGTTCCTGAAATATATCTGAGTGATGGACGATAACAAGGAGATATTTTAGCAGATGACATTTACCTGTGATTAAATATGAATTTATTCATTATTTTTGATTTAACATATTGAATTTTATACTTTATATTAATTTAAATTACGATTATGTTCTCTTTAAAGGTGCGGTTTAGTCACAATTCTTTCTAATTTGTAATTCAGTGCATGGTACTTTCTTGCATACTACTTAACTATTTCAAATTACTTGCCATTTTGCATGGTACTTTACTACTTCAAATTACTTACCGTTTTGCATAGTATTTTACTCCAGAATTGCAGGCTATAATAAATAAGCAACGTGCTACCTGCTAATAAACACCAGAGTATTAAAGTTATTAGTAAATTGTTGAAATTCCATTTTACCAGTCATAAATGATCCACTGGACTAAAAGTATGAAAATAATTTTTATGGCTTTCTAATTAAATTCATATATTTTATAAGCAATAAAATATTTTTAATACAACGTTGCATTTTTATTTAAAACGTTTAAAATGACGTTAAAATTCTGTGCATCACTGAACAATTCGTTTATACTCACACGTTTACTTGAAACAATAATATTGAACGTGTACGTACGTTTAAGTATGTTAGATGATACAGTTCATAGCAACTTACTTCCCGTGAGATACGCTATCTTCAAATATTGTTTCAAAAATAGTGGGAAAAACATGGCGCGCAAGAAATTCTTTAGACATGACAAATCTCTTTGAGTCAAAAGTATTCTGAAAATTCCATAATAAGAAGTAAAATTATTTCCTTTCAAAAATGAATGAATAAACTTTTAAATCATTTTAATAAGTAATCAGTAATTGTGACAAGAAATTATGACAAAATCAATATTTTAATTTTAATATATTTATATTTCTAAAAAAAAAAAAAATTTATTAAGTGAAAATTTTACGTCAGTAAAGATGGACGTTCTTGAAATTCTTTCATTCTAAAATGTTTATTTGTATGCTTTTCCATTTCAATTGACATCTCTTCGTGGAAATTTTTCTCTTTTTTTAAAGCTATAAATAATATTGCAGTAAAAATAACTTACAATAATTATACCAAAAAAAAAAAAAAAAAAAAGAATAAAACAACAACAAACATTGGACTCCATTAGTGATAAATAGTAATTCAAGTTCACATGAAAACATCTCTCTATAATTTAAATAATAATTCAAGTTCACGTCCTCACAGTATTATGTGACACTAAAAAGGGAGACATTAAATGGGTCAAATAGAGGGTCACAGAGCACGATTGTTGTCTATTTTTGCATTTGTTGAGCAGTGATATGAATTGAAATGAGACTGAGATTGTCCGAAATTTTTTAACGAAATAATCGTTAAACTTTTAAATTAGAAACATTCACTCACTTTCATGCATAAATTCAAAGCATTTACATACTGACTGATTTTTAATTTTAAAAAGAGCAAACTTTTTTTGTTTAGTTTTTCTAAATGATACATTCGGGAAATTTTCGATTTAAATATGATATCGACAGACCATCAATTTTGTATACTGTATAATAATCACAAATTTGAACGATATTAGATTTTTATAACTTAAACGATTTTAATATTCGCTAATTATTTAATAAATAATTTGAAATTTATAACAAAAGTTATTGGCATTAGCGATCATTTATGATCGTCATTCAAAATGACCCTTATTTAGCAATTCATTCAATTTTTACAAATATATGCATATAATGAGAATAAAATTATTTGATAAAAGTTTAAAAGAAATATTTTATTATTTATCATTAATTTATTTAATATTAAAATTGCAGGAGCGGTTGCAATCATTTGTAATTCTCATTATTTTCTGCCACTGTGTGGTAATTTCTTTTACATTTACGAAACTATTTTTTATTTATAAATACTTGCAATAATTTTATCATTCAATCAATTTTCATCATATTTATTTATATAAAAAAAAATAAGCAATCTTATTTTTTGACAGAAAATTTCATTTTGATGATTGCTTCAGATTTTTATATAATATAATTTGCAGTGTATTTAAACTAATCAAATCAAAAAAAAAAAAAAAAAAGAAAGAAAATGGAATCAATAGCTTCATTATCAATTATCATCGAAATTGCATTTATTTGCTTACAAATTTGCACATTTATTGAAATAACCATGCTGTTAATCACAACGTGCTGCAAAAAATTATCAACCGAAGAAAATAACACTGTTGTAAGAAGAATTCATGTATACATTCAAAGCGCATTTGTGTAAACAGCGCCAAAGTTCAATTGAACATTTTGCATGTAAAATAGATACAATCTAAGTTGCACTCATATTTACAAGGAAGTATACAAATTATTGCATTAAATATGGATTACTTATCGTAGCATTTATTTATTTGTTTGTTTTTTTGGCTTATATTTCCAATTACAAATTAGATTAGCGTTGAAATATATACATAAATTTTTTTTTTCATTTATATAGTCTTTCCATTTATTTTTAAAAAAACTATTGTCACATATTTTTCATGAAATGTTAATTCTCTCAAAGAATATAAATTTAATTTATAGCAAGAATTAAAACCAAAAGTATCCAAAGAAACGATAAAATCGCCAGCACAAAGAAGAGCAATTGCAAAAATTAGAGAGGGTTAGCAAGAATAAAAATTACATTACTTTTACTAGTATTTTGAAAGAAAAAAGGGAATACTTTAAATTAATTAAGATCATATTTTTAGGTGAAATGATTCCAGCAAATCAGAGTGAAACAATTGATGATGCAATAAGTAATTGGGGAGCTGTGCAAAAAGTTGAACGTAAAGTACCTTTAAAAAAGGTATATAATATTTTGATTCTCATTACCTTGTTACTAATACTTTCCATTTTTCAAATGCTATTCATTTTCTGTTCATTTTAAATTTAAAATTATCTGTTTACATTAAAACATCTTAGTGGATGATAATATCAGATCACTAGAAGATATTTTAATTATTTCATTAACTCATACCATTTCTCTACAGATATAACAATATCACTAGAAGACATTTTGATTACTTCATTAACTCGTACCATTTCTCTGCAGATATAACAATATCAGTAGAAGTCATTTTTATTAATTCATTAACTCATCCATTTCTCCACAGATATAACAATATCACTAGAAGACATTTTGATTAATTGATTAACTCATACCATTTATTTTTTTTTCAGAAACGTCAAAAAATTAAAAGAAGAAAATGAGAATGACGAATGTTTTAAGTGATACTTTTGTTATCATTTTCGACTTACTTTTTACGTGTTTCATTTTCATTATAGAAAAAAGAATAATCACTTATAGAAAAGGATTCATTTACTTGAATGGTAATCTTTTACTGAAAAACACTTATTTAAATGATAATCTTTTACTGAAAAGGATTTATTTAAGTGATATCTTTTATATTGGCTAAATTCCAACAACTTCTGAGCAGTTTTATTTTCAATTCTTAAGCAGAAAGCAAAATATCATTAATATTAAATTAATAAAATATCATATTTAGTCACATCACAAAACCAAATTATACACTGTCCATTGTTCACAAATTTTTGAAAATTTTCTTTTTTTAAAGTGCTAACTATAAATATAAGCAGTAAGTTATTTGTTCTGTACTTCTTCCTTACCACATCTTTTCTGTCATTTGCTGCTCATTAATTCCTGCAATATATGATAATACGAGAATATACGATCATCGATTAATTCCATCAAATGATTTTGGTTGAATGTTTATCAAATAATACTTTAAAATGAATTATATTGTTGATTGTACTACCCCTATCTCTAGTATTGCCTATTAGATTTATTCAAGAATTAACTAACTAATTTAAGTGCTTGTGCTTCCTTGTTTCTAAACTTTGATTTTTCGGTTAAATTTTTTTAAATGCTACAACAAAATTTCGGTAAGTAATATGAGTTTCCTCAATATGAGTGGGAAATATTGTAATTAAAAATTGAAATTAAACAAAGTAAATGCTATAACTCAGTTCTTCAGATTTATTTTCCACATTCAAATTTTCTAGCCTAATCGCATTCTATTTTTACATTAATAATAGAGTTTTGCTATTACGCTTTGCTTAGTGATACGTTGTACGATCATAAATTATAACTCACTGATGTATGAAACAGAAATCAGTTCATAGCATTTAGCAATTAATTGTAATTCTGAAATGAATTTCGTTTTCTTCTATTATCTGAAGCTGCCATAAGTCATTTGCACTTGCGCCATTTGATAAATGATTATTAATCGGCTGTGAATCACTCTCAAATATGAATTAATTAATTCATCAATTAGAACCTATAGCTCCTCAGCTCTCAATCCTCAAATCACTCAATCGATCAATTCATGAGCTAATCAAATCTAACATCAATAAATCACAATGTGTGTGCTGTTTTGTATAAAATAATACTTAAAATGAATTTCTGAATCCGCCAAAGTTTTTAGCAGAATATTGCATTGATTCATTCTCCATTGACTCTTCCAAGATGTGAGGTAAAATTGTTGAGTGATTCACATAAGCCTGGCCTATAAGTTGACCCTTAGATGTCCTTGCTCATCTCGATCAAGCTGTTTGTCAATTACACATTAGACTGTAACATTGTCTTTTCGCAGGATAAAGGTCTTCCCTTTTCAAACTGTTTTCACTACTGTTATTAAAAATCTATCGTTTCTCGAGTTATGAAGATATATGTAGAGAGAGAGAGGGAGAGGGGGGAATAAACGATAATAATTTACTTTTCTAGTTCAGTAACTAATTTCATTGATCTCTGAGTTACGCTTTCAAGGTTTTTATAACGTTATTTCTATTAGTTCAGTAATTTCATACACATAGAATTTTGTAACCATCAAAAACTTTCCACACTTTGCAGTATTTGCATTATATTTCCTTTTCATCTACTTTTTCTTTGATTTTAAAGATGACATATTCATCTTTTGTTTTGCATCTGGAAATCATTTCTTCACAGCAAACGAAGAAGTGTTTGGCCTTTAAAGATGAGTAGTTGCAAAGTGAGATGTTCAATACGAGGAGAGTTGGTCCTCTGAATTCATCAACGCCAAAAATGAAATTATCTCGCACAAAATCTGGTAATCAATTAGAAGTGTGTTCATGCAACTTTATCTGTTGTTTGTTGTTTTTAAGGTTGTTCTCCTGGTGTTTACTAACCAAGGCACATGGCATTTTATTTTGTCCCAATAATTTACCTTTATGTGACTTGAATTTTATAACTTCAAGTCCTAAAATGCTTCAGATTTACTTCACTTCAGACTCGTTTGAATCGAATCACACCGAGCCACTATCAACTTTTTCACCACTTGGTTTTTCATCAAGTTTTGCATATGGTGAGCAAGAAGTAAGTTCAGTGTTTCTCACAGGCCTCGAAAAAAAGAGGCGCTGTGAGTCCCTGTTCTGACTATTTTTTTATGTTTTCCACCTTGTTCTTCAACCATTCATTTAGAAAATGGACATTTGCTTTTTGCTTTCGTGCTGTTTTCCTGAATTACTTAAGTCTTTATGTTTTATTATGGAAAAGTCTACCCAATTAAGTCTCCCTACTCAAATTATATGAAGTTCTTGAGACTGCACACTGTAAAACTGGACTCTTTTAAACTTCTAAACACATTTTACGAATAGTCATTTCTCAAGCATTATTTGAGTGACACAAAATTTGTAAAATGTTAAAAACAAAGGAGAGCACTGTATGTAGTCGGATGGCTGAAATATATTTTTCGTGAATTCCAATTAATTTATGAACTAAAATGGAGGTAGGCAGTAGAGTGAAGTGATTATCTGATGTGAATTGCTATGAAAGAGGGGTTCATTTCTTCCCTCGCTATGTAATGAAGTAGTCGATGGGTAGTAAGAGGCTGTTAAAGAGTAAAGAAAAGGGCTAGAGTTTCTGCATTATATTAGAACAGCAGTACCGTGGCGACATTTCATTATCTGTCAGGGTCGTCCATTGTTCTTTAGTGGTTAAGGCCGTGGCATAAACTGCTCAAATATAATCTATTCAGCACTATTGCGAGTTTTATTAGAAATGTTCCGTTGATATCGTTTTGAATTTAATTATTTGCCTGTGTTACAGGTTCAAATTATCGTTTTATATTCAAATATCTTTTACCATTCATTACTGGCTTTTCATAATAAGGAGTTATAATTTTGAAATAATTGGTAGATGAATGATTTAATAGTTCCATATATTATGTATGTTAGGGCGGTATTGATATGAGGCTATACAAAAAGCAGAAAACTATTCCAATAATATTCACCAGTTGTTTCCATTCTTGTATTGTAAAGAGGTAACCGACTTATTAGATAGAATGATAAGCAGGACATGATGATTAGGAGAACCTTATTGGAACTGACAGCCATTGATAGCGCAGAGTGATAAGCAATACTAATTAGAATATGAATAGTTAGCAAGACTGCTGAAGAGATTGTTTTAAATAGACATCTAGTTCTAAATAAAGATAACAGTAAAAGTAAGATGATTGTAAGTTTTTTATATGAGATAAAACGCCATTATTAGAAGTAAGAACTGTCACTGTTAAATTCGAAAAATAAGCTGTTTTATATGCTCATTCAAAGAAGCGTATTCTTAAGCTTTATTTTGTTGTATGTTATCATATATGCCTTATCGTGCAATTAATATTTATTGCCTTAAGTCTGTTTTTTTCTTCGTTTATTAAGCTTTAATTACGTATTCCTTTTTTGAAGATGACGCAGATATCGGCGAAAAAAGGCACTATATCTCAAACGATACCTTTGCTTAAGAAAAAGAGTTTTCCGCGACGTAATTCACAGTCACGATCACGTGGTCATAAATTGCGTCGTTCGACACCACAAGTTTGGTATGCTCTTTTTTCTGTTTTCATCGGATTTTCCATCACGCCGGCCCTTTTTAATGTGAAGCTAATGTATGGCTTAAAGGAACATGAAATTATGCTTACCAACTTTATCTTCCACTTTACTAACGCTTGCTTTTAGATGTTCAGACCGTTAAAACTGATTCAATTGAAAAGCTACTGCCGAACAATGTAGGGGTTGTTGGTTTAGTTATTTTTTTTTTTTTTTAGTGTCAAGGGGTTTGGTGTTGATAAGGTGATGTTTTATTTTTGATAATATTAAGTTTGATTTTGGTTTTAGTTGTATTAAGATAACATTACTTATTTTTAGTTTATTTAATGTGTAATTTTTTTATCCACTGGTAGTTTTTTAATTGTTTTATAAGTGTTCCAGAATAATCGGCTATACATTTTAATTTTTAACTCTATTTGTTGTTTTGTCTTTTTTTTATATTTTTGCTTTTATGTTATTTTTGTAAAATGTTTTAGTTTTTATATTATTTAAAAAGACATTTAAAATTTGGTTTTTGAACTGGATTAGTACCCAGGTAATCAAAATTAATTAATTCGGGAGTAAAGTTTTATTTAAATCGAAAAAATATTGACTGATCTTGGATTTCTCTTTGGAATATGCGTATGGAGAGCCCTCTTTTTTGGTGAGTCCTATCGGCACATGTATGATTGTTTAGTTTTTATTTTATTTGTAATGCTTTTATGTTTTGTCATTTAAAACAGATATATATTTGGCTTATGGATTTATAATCGTGTGTTACTATTATTAATTTTTTTTGGATTATTTTTATATTTTTTTTTTGAAATTGGAAAAGAAAGTAATTTTTTTTTTATATGATGATGAATTTAATAAACAAGGTGGTATAAACCATCCGTCAATGGCCTACAGGAGCGTAAGTTGTAGTATGGTAGAGGTAAGGAAATTCGATTATCACTTCTGCCAATTCGGCCGCACTTGAAAATCATTCTTCGGCACCTACTATTTCCGTTTACTGTAACCAGAAGTATATACTAGTCAGTGTTACACTTTTTTTCATTAGCAGTACTTATAGGATAATTCCGAGTGTTGTGACATTCATTAGAGAATTACTAGAGAACGCCCTTATGATGCTTTTCAGCTGTTTAGAAATCACTGCAAATTACAAAGTCTTAAGTACATTTTTACACCAAGATTTTTACACTAATAGGCTTTTGCATTGAAAATTTTAAGTCAATTTTTTTGAAAGTTAAAAATTTTATTTCAGACATAATAAATTATTTGGTAAGAAAGCTGCATGAATTCCAGGAAACATCAGCGAAGTCCAGTGGAACTATTTCTGGTACAGGAAATTTCATGAAGATGTCGAGCCATCTTGTTGATCATCCCTTCATTTTGACTTCGATCCATCTTTTGCTGTATTTCCTCTACGCTTTTATGATCTATGATTTAGCGAACTATTTTGGTGTTGATCGATTCGTGATAAAACATTGGACACAATGGAGCAAGAAGATTCTTCCTAATTTATGGTCATTAAAGTTATCTTCACCGGGATGAATTTTACAATCCAGATCTGATATCCAACATTTTTTTCGCATCAGTTTTCCCATCTATACATTTCATACCTTTTTAATTCAACCATATTATTGTATATTTAATAACAGTTTAATCACAATTAATGTTTACAAGGCAAGATGCATATTTAAACTTGTCGATTAGCAACAATTACTAGGTTTTGTTGTTCATTAAAACTCATTGTTATTTCTAATAGGATTTATTTACAAGTGGTTTTTGAAATTCTAAAATTTTATTTTCTTATTTTTTTCTATAAATTAAACTTTTTAGCAGTCGCTTGATTGAGAGTTTTTCATGTATTCTGTATGTTTTTACTGAACATTTATTCAGCTCTCCTACTAGCAAATTTTTTTTTTATAATAATGTCTACAGCAAAAGTTGTGCTGCTATATCTGTTAAGTTTTTTCTATTTTTCGTAAATGTAATAAAATATATTCGTCCTTTTCAACTGATATTTTTTTTCACCTTTAAGTTTAGTTAACGATATTATAATAGAGTCTAGCCATATTTGATAATTTAATTATGCATAACAATTGCCAAAAACAATTACATGATAAAATATTAATTAGTTGGCTTGTCATGTTATCATGTAATATCCAAGCACAGTAATTACTCGATTCATTTGAAGAAAAATAGTCTGTTTTTTATTATTAATTTTATGGTTACTTCTTTATTATTAATTATTTTATTAATTACTGCTTACTGCAGAATCCTTAATATACTATAAAAGCTAGGAAATTTTCCTTTGAAGTGCTATGTTGTATAAAATATTTTTGTTTGTTTTTCGATTGCTAATAGTATTTATAAATAGTTATCAGGACAATTTAGCATTCGTTTCATGCTGCTTTTTATCCGAAATAGTGACTGTATCCTGGAATGATATAATTAACTAAGCAGAGTAATCGTCTTTTTGATTCTTCTTGTTGTATTTCATTTGTTGTTAATTGTTTCCATGTTCTCGAATCTTTCATAAACATATCACCTTCAATACAAATGAAAGTAATCTTTTCATCAGTTAAAATTTTAAAACGTAAAATTTTTATTGCTCCACTTTTTTTAAAAAAAAATTTGGGAATGCTAAACTATAAAAGATTTTAATGTATAAAGAACTAATCAAATGATTTTTTTTTGAAAAAATTCTAAACCCAAATTAATCAAATTATTTCAATAAATTAGAATTTGAGAGTTTTTTTTGCTAAAAATATTGATCTTATCGGAAACAATGATGATACCAAAAAAATTAGTATTATTTATGAGAAAGAAATGTCATCAGATGTATGACCTGGTGTTTTCAATAAATAAACATCCGGGAAATGATTAGTGTTACCCGAATGATCAGGATGCCCATGAGTTGTGATTACATGATTGATAGATGGAGCATCAAGTTCACTTAATCCCAGAGCAAAAAAATATTTAAATATTTGAAAATATTGAAAATGAAAATGTACATTTTGAAGATAATCATAATTAATTAATTAATAGTAGTGCATTCTTGTTAAACAAACTTTGCAATATCCAAGTGCGCTCGTTGATATCAGTAGAGAGCCCACTGTCTATCAGAATCTTTTCTCCATTATCAACCACAATTGTGGACAGAATTCGTAACCATTTCTAGTTCTACACAATGGAACCCTAAAATGATAATAATAAGCCTAGTAGAGATCAACTTTGCATTTATCATAAATACCACTGTACAGTAAATTTTATTTTGCTTTGTATACCTTGTTTGCATTATTTCAAGCAATAATCTTTCATTCTTCTCTTTTAATCAATTTCAATTTTTGGTTACAAAAATTGATGTCAATATTTTATTAAAATATCGACTACTTCTTTTCAATACTTAAGTTATCTTGAATTTTTTAAAATCAGAAATATGAAATTTACTAATTTCATATTTCCATGTTTTATCATCTGTTTAAATCAAAAAATATATTGTTTTATCATCTGTTTAAATCAAAGATTTAGTCATTTTTATAAATCAAAGCATTCTGATTTAATTTAATTTAATTTTCAAAAGATTTTTGATATGTTTCAAGAAATTCTACAAATCCTGATTTTCCCCGATAGAATTGCCGTTTTCAGATATCTTTTTTGCATCTTTTATTTCCAAATTTCTAAAAAAAGGAATTATAGTGATAAAATACTATTAATGAATAAATTTTATAGTACATCATAATGAGAGTTAACATTTATAGATGTGTGCTAGCAAATTTATTTCTATTCAATAAATAAGAGTTCATCCATTTTAAATATTTTCAAATATTTAAATATTTTTTTGTTCTGGGATTAAGTGAACTTGATGTTCCATCTATCAATCATGTAATCACAATTCATGGGCATCCTGATCATTCGGGTAACACTAATCATTTCCCGGATGCACTTCATTATGCTGGAAGATTTGTGCATTTTGGAACGCACTCCTACTTTTTACGAATTTTCGAGGTAACTTTTCAAAAATTATTAACATTTTAATCAATAAACATTATCATAAATCTGAGAAACATATATTCACTTATGCTAATAGTAGACTTAGAATTATTTAATAATCTGAAAAATCTATATTCAATTTCTCTTCTCTCTTACAACTTCGAACATTTGTGAACCGAATTAGATATTATTTAATTAAGGAACGTTAAGGTGTGAGAAATAATTATATTGCCGAGGTTGAGGGAATTTTGTTAAATTGTGATTAGAAGATAATGGAAACTGATAAAACGAAGAGATAACTAATTTTTATAAGAGTTAAATAGTAGAAAATTTGACAGCTAATGAAGTTTGTAGTAATATTTCATTAAAAATAATAATTGTAGTAATTAAGAGTGAAATAGTTTGGACAAATGAGATAAGATATTAAGAATTTATAAGATAGTAGGCTTATGCACTAATTGCTAATATGTGGGACATTTCATTTCTTCTTGTTCTTTTTGTTCTTTTTTAGAATAAGAAAATGAGGTAGTAGAAAAATAAATATTAGAATTGTTTTCAATTTCCAAAATCATTGGGCTGCGTCAATTGTTTTCAATTTCCAAAATCATTGGCTCAGTATTTCCATGATTTTCCTAGCTGTTAGCTTTATACATGTAAGCATTTTTTTTAGTAGAAACTATTTCCATTTAAAATTTAGTGCAATAAGCAATAAAACGATTTTTAATTTAATCAAATTTTATTTGAATACAATTTGCTAATATTACATTCATGCATGTAGTAGAATTACCAATTTAATTTATTCGCTATAATGAGGCGATTTAATTTATTCGCTATAATGAGGCGATTTTTTATTTTGAAATAGATATTTCAGAAAGCTATTATTTAATTATTTTCAGAATAGTTGTAATATTTAAACAATGAAAAAGCACTATTTTTATAGCTATTTATACAATCAGCATTATTTGATTTTTTATTGGCTGCATTTGGTGCTGTTTTTATTTTCCATATATTTAGCTTTCGATATTGATCGTGTTATGTATCACGCTTCAAGTTGTATTTAGACATTTTTAACTTTTTCCTAAGAATATTGGAGCTAATCGAAATTAATTTCCATTATTTAATTTTCGAGGAAAAAATTTTGAGTCACTCTATATTATTTTCTCACTCTATGTTAAAAATGTCAAGAAATTTTTGAAGGCATTCTGAATTGGTCATATTAATTTTGTATTATTCTTAGAGATTTTGTAGATTAAACGTAGTGAATTTTCACATTAAAAAATTTCATGGAATGATATAGAATGATGATTTCTAGATGAGATGAGTTTTTAGCATGAACAATTGTATTTTAAGGTGAAAATTTGGCCTCTAGTAAATGGTTTATTTCGCCACATTATTTAGTTTCGTATTTTAGTGACAATTTGTTTTGTCCTTTTATCAAAATAGAGCTTCTCAAAGAAAACTTTCATTTGGGGTATGTAGTTGGACGCGGCATATTTTTTATTGACATAAGCTCCGTTGTTGACATAAGCTCCGTGAACCAGGTGAGAATTAGAAATATCGTCTTACCCTTGTATAGTATGTATATAATACTCACCTTGCATAATATGATTATCTTTATAACATCCATATATGTAAAAAAAATAACAGTTGTATTCCCTCTGTTCCGATCATATATGTAGTATTCTGTTAAAAGTACCAAATCATAAATGAAAATAAATATGAAAAAATCAGTTTAGAAATAATTAAACTGATTTTTTATAATGACTACATTTAACTAAACTGTTTTTCATATTTCATGTTTAACTATCCATTTCTTTTTTATATTAATGATACGAATCATTTTTACTTATTGGAAGGAATATCGATAAGTTTTTTATGTGTATATTGTTTTGTGTATTTTGCACAGCTAACAATTAATAGCTGTCAACAAATAAATTACAAAGAACTTTTATGGGAATTGGAAGAGGGTACACAATAAAAAAGGGAAAAAATAGTTTTAGATTTAATAAAGTTTTCTCTTTTTGCATAAAGGAGAGATATTTGCTATTTGGTATAGCAATTAATTAATTAATTCGATGTAAAATGTCGGAAAAAGTGCATTTGTAGACTTGAAAAATAAAAAGGGAATATATAAAATGATAGAGTAGAAAATATTTAACTATCTTCATACATTACCACTTTATTAAATTAAATCAGCCGTCGGCAAAGAAAAAAACGACGATATATTGGCAATGGTGGATAATTACTGCAACAGCGAATATTGTCATTTCATACTCTTTCGATACATTTTCATGAATTAGTTCCGAACAAATTCGATTTGGTTTGGCTATGTGTTTCATCACTAATTGTTGCTTTTGTTTGCTCTGTATGCAATCTTTCTGATCGCAGTGAAACAAAAATTGATTGCTGCTATCGTTATTTCAGGTTGGCTTTTCCAAACTGATTGGAGCAACTCAATATTGTTGTGAAAATTGTAATTATCTTTTTCAAAAATCGATAAAAGCGATATATCCAAGTAATATTACTTATCACAGTTAATTATCGCTGATAGGAATATTAAATGACGTTATCTGATCCTTGAAATTGTTGAATAAGCTAGTCATTTTTAAAGAACATGTGTGTCGCTTTAAAATATCATCAAAAATCAATTATTCCTTCCATTCTTTACTAACTTTTAATTTTGCTAACTTCTAAATTTGGTTCAGCCGGAAAACCAGTAACACTTCTAGCAATTTGCTTTGATATCTTGAACTTTATTATTGTTTTAATCATTTATAAAAGTATTATAATTGTTTTAAGTATTTACGATGAACATTCGAATCACTTTGTCGATCTTTTCACAATAAAGCAGCTAAACTACTTAGGAGTTTTTAAATTTTTAAACTCTAAGACAGATTATTTCATTTTATAATGATTTTATAGTGGTGAGTTCACTGTTACATAGAATTTTAAAAATGTGGATAAATCGTTATGAATGCATGGTGCATGGCATGCTTGAATGAATATTCTTTTCACATTGTTGAACTTAATTGAACATAGAATCTCAGAAAAATTTTTAATAAATATTAAATATATTTAATAAATAGTCACCCTAACTTGGTAAGAGATTTAAAAAAAGAAGGAAATAAACTGTGATATTAAATTATCGTTTGAGGTGAAACAACATGGAAATCTTTAAAGGATTTCTAATTGACGCATCAAAAATTATGGTCAAATTTTTGTCCTAGTAAAGCTATCTAAGTATCCTGTTATATTTATAAGGATAGCAAAATCTTAACTAATTCATTACATACACATATATCGACAAAGCAATTAATTTGGCAAATCAACTTATTATTGACTTGTGCTCCAATCTTTGTATATTTAAATTCTAAATAGATAGAATGGTTTGAAAAAAAAAAAAAAACAATTAATCGAAATGCGAAATTTACATATTTCCGACAAGAAAGTTTTCAAGAAAACGATGAAACTACAAAAGATTTATTGCTACATGCGAAAGTGATATTTCCATTCGTACCTTATCTTAATATAAAATTCGCTTTATTTGTTGTGCTAAGTGATTTTAATTGGAATTTCAATTTTTCACTTACTCGTATAGAGTAAAACAAAACATTAAACTTCAAATTATCAATGGTATGAAGCTTTAAATCATATTTGTAAGAAGTGAAGCCAGTTAATAGTGGATTGCTTTGACAGATTTATCCTAAATCTTCCTGACCTATCACTGTCATTAGATAAATCGGTATTAATTGATTTAACAGACATGATTTATTGATTTGTTTTTTATTTATTTAGTAAACGTCACATAATCCCATCAATATTTATATCATTCATCTTTAAATATTCTCTACGTGTGAGGATACGTTCTTTCCAAAGAAATACACGGCAATCGTTTCTTCGGCTTCCAAACCGCAATGGTAACACCTTATTCGCCAAAATACGTACAAGACTCAACTGGAAATTTACAGTTGCTGAACCAAATCCACGAAGACGGCCAAGCTGGAACGTGATCTCACGTCGTACTTTACGGCACACATCTTGTAGTATCTGAAACTTATTAATTTTATTTTTTCAGTTTTTCTAGATCGAAAAAGAAAATCACGTTTTAAATTACAATCAGTAATTGAAACTTATTAATTTTATTTTTTCAGTTTTTCTAGATCGAAAAAGAAAATCGCGTTTTAAATTAAAATCAGTAATTGAACTAACTGGCATTCTTTCATCGTTGAAAACGTCAAAGAATTCCATAGAAACTGAATTAAGTGGATACCATGAGAGATCGATTTTGATTGATTCTATTACGACAATTCGTTTTACCTAAAAAATTATGGAAAAATTGCCAAGTATTATTCTTTAAAGAACTTTAATGAGCAAAATAATGACATTGAGATCATCAAAACTATTATGTTATGCACTGCATTATGATTTCTAGTTTTATTTAAGTATTGCTCTTACGAAAATGATTGCTGTTGCCAATTAAAAATATAGATCTGAAATTTTAATAGATAATTCTCATGAAGATTAATTAGCTTTCTGTAAAAAAAAATGATTTTTAAACGCTGAGAAAAATAAATGGAATACTGATGGCGGTAGATGAACATTTGCAAGTTGTATGAAATCATTTAAAATTAGTGCTTCGAATGTTATTGTTGACAGTGAATGAAACATTTTTAAGAGCTCAAATATTTGTTCGCTTGTCGAAGGCTGAAATTTCCGCTTTTTTTTATACAGATAAATAAAAGTAAATTCTTGTTTTAATTTTTAAATTTGTATTTGAAATTTTATAAATTTAGTTATTTGTCAACTTACCTTAAGAAAAGCTCGTGCAAGCGTCAAATGACTCAAATGTTCCATAGTAATCATTGTTTCTGCTACTTCTATAACAGCAGCACTACGATTCTAAACGTATCAATGGTCAAATTAGTTAGTTGTATATTAACTTTTAAATTCTCTTGCGCACTTCCTTACACAAAAGTTATTATGAAGAATATAATTTCAAATGTTCATTATTTTTGTTTTTTTTTCAGTTTTTGTTCTTTTTTTTTAAATTCAAAATAAAATAGATGCATTACTTCAGATGTAGCAGCTCCTTCCGGCACGATAACAGTAAGTAACAATTCTAAACGTCGCAAAGTAGTTGCTAAGGCTCGACATATGGTCAGCAATTGTCGGATACGCATTCGATGTGTGCAAATTCGAAGATCTTCAATTGGAGCGCAGATTTTATCCACTGGTGGAACATCAGCTAATGTTAGTGCTTCTCGGATATGGAGCGTACGAAGATTTGGCAATGTGAGGAAATCGCTCAGAGTATAAACAAGACTGAAAAATTCAATTATATCTATTGGTGAACTGTATTTTCCATTCATCAATCATATTTTTAGATAAAAATAATTATTACTTTCAAACACTCAGTTGCAGAATTATTCAGTTTCCACTTTTAGTTTTAGGCAATGAAATTTTTTGATATTTGCTGCTTTTCCACATAATTTAAATCTCTTAGACTTTTTTATTTATATTGTGTCAGATGAATATGCATGAACACATGCATAGAATAGTTAGAATAAATCTACTCTAAAAATCAATGTAAAAATTTGCAAAATTTTTCTAATGAAATATTTGATTGCATAATTTTCAAGCAAAAATTTGTGTTTTTTTGCCAAAACTTTTGAAATCATAAATTCCTTATCTTAAATTATTTCGTATACTGCATAATTTGACGGTTTCTAATTTTCGTAACAAAGCAAAAAAGCCCTCTTCTGCAGTTATCTTATTGCAACGATCCAAAAATCGCATTGTTGAAGATTCTACCAAAATTGTTTTCACATTGCTGTAATATTATTTTCTGGTCTTCTCAAGATTTTTTTTAACCATTTATTAAGTACTCAATTTTATTTTATGGACAAAACTACTTGACCAATCCTTGCATCTAGTGAATGTAATATATCAAGCTACTTGGCCAATAATAGGTCTTTGAAGCATTGTAATTAATGATTTCATGTTAAAATGTATATAAATAAATATTAGCATATTTTCATATATTTTAGTGAAAGAATTCTTAAATCAAGACATGTTAAAATTAGAATTAAAATCCTAGGATAAAGCAATAAATGCATTTTCTTATAAAGCGCAGCAAATGACCGGAAATTATAGAGCATCGGAATAGCTTTAGTGGTACGAATTACGCCTACTGCAGGAGAATTGGTGACAGCTTGATAGGCATGTATCACAACCTAAAATGTTTTCTCTTGGACATTTATGAACGAATTTCATAAAATACATTTGTGCTCATGAGAATAGAATGGTTCTAACGGTTTTATTTGCTTCATGTTCAATTGGTACTCTTGTTAAGTAAAGGTGCTGAACGTCGACCCAGCTGCTCAATTCTTCAGCCAATCTAAATTTTTCAAGTAATTATATACTTAGTATTTAATTCATAAAGTTTATTTAGCAACATGCATTAGCTGGCACTTTTTAAAACTTACATTTGCTAATCATGCTTAATTCATTTGCAAAATTTGTTCTTAGATTTGCTAATTTAATTCTTTTAAAATTCACTTTGATATCAACTAATTGATTCATTTTTTGCTGACTAACAATAATTTGTGTAATTATTATTCCAAAGATTCATTTAAAAAAAAAACCTTTTATTAATGCAACAAATGCGACATCGTGTAAGGGCATCACATAGATAAAAGATCATCTTGATAAGTTCAAACGGTAATGAGATCGGTGAATTTTGCTGCAGGTAATATCAGAAAATAAAAATAACAGATAATATCAGGAAACAGCGCATTATTGATAACAAATTATTATTTCCACTTTCATAAAACCTGAAGACATGAACTCACCGGCTTATGAATATTACTGTTTAAACTTTTTAAGCGTATAATTTCATCACGTTGTTCCTCAATATTATGTTTTAGTATTGCTACTGTTTGGCGCAAATCTTCAATAGTCGATTCGCGATGCTTCAAAATTTCTCGTAAACGTTCCAATGTTGCACTGTTTGTTTCAGTACTTGAGCTTCCACCTCCGTCCTCAGCATCGAATGCTTCTGGTGAATTCTCTCTTTCTAATTGATCTTCCATTTTCCGTTTTCTTCTTTTTTAAACTGAAAATTCTGTCAACAGTTTTTTCTTTTCACTATAAGTGAATATTGTTTATCTTTATTTTTTAAAAAGTTTTTCCAAAGTTAATGAATAAATCGTCAAAATCTATTTTGTTTTTATTTTCTTCAAGAATTTTAGGTTTTACTTTCTTTCTTTTTACTCTCGGAATTTCTCTCTTAAATTTTCTTTTCACTCTCGGAATTTCTCTCTTACTTTTAGCAAAGTTTAATAGCACTTTTTCAAAAAGCTGGAAGCTTTTTTATATAAAAAGATGGGAAGATGGTAATAATTTGGATTGTTTAATGCTGATATGAAATGCTAGAGAAAATGTTGGAAAATGATGTTTGAAAAATGATGTGAAAAGACTGACTTTAAGAATGGGAAGAATGGATGAGTTATGCGATAGTTATGCGACAGTGAAATGTGATTAGTAATATATGGAGCTAGACAAGCTGCCTTTCGGGATTGTAAAATATTAAAAATGACACAATGATTGCCATCCTCTAATATTTATATTGATCGTTGTTGTCAGTTGCCGAATTGACAACTGACAACAACGATCAATATCAAGTAATTTGAAGATGGAAATTCTCGGAAGAAAGTGAAGTGAACAATCTGAGGACGTTTTGACATAAGCGAAGGTGTAACTGGTAAGACACATTAAGTGAAAATCTCGAGGCTCTAATATGGTTGTTTTAATTTACGAAGTCCACACTTCTCGTTCCGGAGCTCTTGATAGCTAGAATAAATCGGATTATTTCGTTGCAACTATTGCCACAAGTCTTAAGGGAACTATTATTTGAACTTTGCTGCGTATGTAAGCGAATCCAATCGGGAGTAGACATGCTATTGTCTATTTTTCATCTCGCTCTTTTCAGCTTCCCACTTTACATATTGGAGGTTTTTGCGTGCTTAGCAAACACCAAATTTCAGTAGTTTGTTACTCACTCAATAAAGCTTTTTTATTTCCGTCTACTGTTTTGTATCTTTATTGCATTTTCATTTCTGGGCCTTTCATTTCTATTTTTGTCATTATTGTTTTCTGTCGATGTCGTTATCATTCTTATTATCGGTGTTTTTGTGAAGGTCAGTATTATTGCTTATTTTATTTTATGTATTTATTATTTATTTGTCTTCTATTTCCTTCATTTATTTATATATTCTTTTATTTATCCGATTTATTATTATTGTTCATTTACTTATTTATCTATGAATTGATGTGTTATTTATTTATCTGTTTTATTTATTTAATCAATGTATTATTTATCTATTCATCCGATTCATTATTTGTTATTGTTATTATCATTACTATTATTATTATCACTATTGACATTGCTTCTCATCAGTATCACTGTATGTTAACTGTGTTGTTTACCGGAATGTTTTATACTTCTATTCTAATTCCTTAATCCTACCTGATTTGAAAATTGGAGATATAAGATCAGTTAATGTAGTAAGCGGTAATTATTTTTCGGGAAATCGGATTGTCATTCGGCACTAATAGTTATCATTGATTATCATTTTTAGACTTTTTCCTGTTTCGTACTAAATGTTAGTGAAAGTAGATATGAAGTATGTCGATAACAGTGTTTAAGACATGTTTATTAATATGATTTTATTATTTTTTTTTCAGTTCTATTGTTCTAAATACTTCCAACTTTAGCTGTTATTCTCGACAGTTTCGTTAGGAAAAATAGTTCTAGTTATTTCAAGAACAGGTTGGGACTTTAAAAAATCAATTGTAACTTTAGAAAATATTTTGTCGAACAGCAACAAGTTATTGGTAGCTATTCCGTCTTGAACGTGTTGCCATCTATCACCATTTTTTTCTAGTTTCATTTTTCCAGCCTTATTTGGTTGATATATATACCTTCACAGTTCTCATTATTTGTCAGTATGTCAGTTTTTTGAGCGGTCTTTTCTTGTGTGTATTTAAAAATTGATTCTATCTATTATTTTAAGAGTAATGGATGAACGTGAAACGAGTAACACATCATTACAGCTTATAACTCACTTAGCACGCAGAGCTGTCACATCATCTGGTCAGAATACTTATGTTGTAAGTTAAATACAGTTGAGCAAATACGTAACTAGTAAATATTAATTGGAAGTTACTGATATTCTCTAGTGAATCATAGAAGGCATTTATTGAAATATTGCATGAAGTCTTCTCATGGAATATTTTGTTCAACTCTCATAAAATAAATTTAGATACCCTCTTATTCATATATGTATTTCAGGGAGCCGGAGCTACACGAAGATTTTCGACGCTTCCATCAGCAGGTCCACCTATATCAGTTTCTACGGTAGTTCTAAAGCGGTATATATCGGTTAATCGTATAGGCACACATCCTATATATTAATTCGTCTGCACACCAAGCAAAACGATCTTTATCAAGTAATTATGCCTGCGATCTTCAATTAATACGGAAATTTCCTCGCAGTATTGATAAATCGAAAGGCTTGAGACACTTCAGTACCAAAGTTTGTGAGAAAGTGAAGGAAAAAGGACATACGAATTATAATGAGGCACGCGTTATTACTGTTTCTTTTTTCTTTTTATTTAACATCGATTGGTTTGAACGCATTTTTTAAGAGATGCTTTCCTGCTGATTTATCTATCTGCTTCTGTGACTATTGTAAGGAAGTTCTGTCTATATTCTAAAACATGATATAAGACTTAAAATTATTGACTGTATTACTCATTAAATGGTATTATTGATAATATTTTTTTTTTATGTCAATTATTATTTTGTCTTAGGTAGCTGATGAACTTGTTTCTGAATATTTCGATTCGGCCGATATTTAGCCTACACATACAGTGTATTTTTATCTGAAACCAGTTTTTTTGGGAAGTCAAATTTGCAGATTATAGTGAAAATGAAAAAGTGCGATGCCTTATCTTTGAGTAATTTAAATCAAATTTTAATAAGAATTAAAATAGAAGGAAAGAATTAAATAATTAAAATAGAAAGAAATTTTAAATAGAAAAGAAAGGATTGAAATATTGAATTTAAGAAATTTCTTTTAAGATTAAAATTTTAAAATTACGGTTTTGGAAATGAGTAAGCTGTAAGCCTATGTGGAAAAAATGAAAGGAAGTCTAAATTAGAAAAGAGTTAATCAAAAATTTAAATGAAAATTTTTTAAATAAAAATTATAAAATTTAAATAAAGGTTAATAGAGAATAAGTAACTGTAAACAGAAGAAAACGTTATCATAGTTTAAGAATTTTAATTCGCTTAACAAATATCTTATTTCTTCTTAATTATATAAGGATTTATTTTTTTTTTTTGTAAAAATATTTAGGAAAAACAGCAGTATGATATGAAAAACATTCGACGTCGTGTTTACGATGCATTAAATGCGCTAATGGCTTAGGCTTACGCTTAGGATCAAATCAGATGATGAAATCATACCATTTCTATTCAAATATAATAATATCACTAGAAGACGTTATGATGAAATCATACCATTTCTATTCAAATATAATAATATCACTAGAAGACGTTATGATGAAATCATACCATTTCTATTCAAATATAATAATATCATAAGAAGACGTTATGATGAAATCATACCATTTCTATTCAAATATAATAATATCACTAGAAGACGTTACGATGAAATCATACCATTTCTATTCAAATACAATAATATCACTAGAAGACGTTATGATGAAATCATACCATTTCTATTCAATGATGAAATCATACCATTTCTATTCAAATATAATAATATCACTAGAAGACGTTATGATGAAATCATACCATTTCTGTTCAATGATGAAATCATACCATTTCTATTCAAATATAATTATATCACTAGAAGACGTTATGATGAAATCATACCATTTCTATTCAAATACAATAATATCACTAGAAGACGTTATGATGAAATCATACCATTTCTATTCAAATATAATAATATCACTAGAAGACGTTATGATGAAATCATACCATTTCTATTCAAATATAATTATATCACTAGAAGACGTTATGATGAAATCATACCATTTCTATTCAAATATAATAACATCACTAGAAGACGTTATGATGAAATCATACCATTTCTGTTCAATGATGAAATCATACCATTTCTATTCAAATATAATTATATCACTAGAAGACGTTATGATGAAATCATACCATTTCTATTCAAATATAATAATATCACTAGAAGACGTTATGATGAAGTCATACCATTTCTATTCAAATATAATAGTATCACTAGAAGACGTTATGATGAAATCATACCATTTCTATTCAAATATAATAACATCACTAGAAGACGTTATGATGAAATCATACCATTTCTATTCAATGATGAAATCATACCATTTCTATTCAAATATAATATTATCACTAGAAGACGTTATGATGAAATCATACCATTTCTATTCAAATATAATAATATCATAAGAAGACGTAATGATGAAATCATACCATTTCTATTCAAATATAATAATATCATAAGAAGACGTAATGATGAAATCATACCATTTCTATTCAAATATAATATTATCACTAGAAGACGTTATGATGAAATCATACCATTTCTATTCAAATATAATATTATCACTAGAAGACGTTATGATGAAATCATACCATTTCTATTCAAATATAATAATATCATAAGAAGACGTAATGATGAAATCATACCATTTCTATTCAAATATAATATTATCACTAGAAGACGTAATGATGAAATCATACCATTTCTATTCAAATATAATATTATCACTAGAAGACGTTATGATGAAATCATACCATTTCTATTCAAATATAATAATATCATAAGAAGACGTAATGATGAAATCATACCATTTCTATTCAAATATAATATTATCACTAGAAGACGTTATGATGAAATCATACCATTTCTATTCAAATATAATATTATCACTAGAAGACGTTATGATGAAATCATACCATTTCTATTCAAATATAATAATATCATAAGAAGACGTAATGATGAAA